GTGTGCACTTGCTGGAGAGACAGAGACAGACCGAAAGAAAGTGAGAAGTCACCTCCCCAGGGGGGATGGCCGTGCTACAGTCCCTTTTCCTCCAGTCTCCTCCTAGGATTTTGGGCACTCAGGACCAACAGTTGGCGTAATGGCTATGTCATTAGACTCCCATGTAGTCAACTGCAGTTCAAGTCTTGGACCTGGTGGTTTAAACTCATGCCGGGCACGTGTGCATGTGTGCCCAAGATCTGGAGAGAAGGGATTGTGGTGTGACCATACCCCTGGGGGGTCATTTCTTGCTTTCTGTTTCTGGCGAGCGCACATGCCCTATAGTAAAAACCTCTACCCCCCCCCAAAAAAAAAAAGATTTTGGGCATGTGCACACATGTGTCTGGCATGAGTTTTAAGCAACTGGGTCCAGGACTCGATCAGCGGTTGACTACGTGGGAGTCCGGCTATGTAACCATTATGCCATCTGCAGGTCCATATGTGTCAGGCAACAAGCCAAGTCTTTTACACAGATCTATCTAATTATTCCTAACATTAATACTGTGAAATACCAGGTTGTCATGACTCATTTTCTATGTAAAATGAGTCATGACTTTTCCAAAGACCCAATAGATAGAGTTATTTTCTCAGTTTTAGAAATGGGAGGTCTGTAATTTAGAAAAGTTAAGTAACCTATCTAAAGGCATACAGCTAGTAAGTGTTGGCAACTTTCAAATTTGAGCCTTGTACACATATCCTAAATCTGTGGCTTTGAATGCTGTGTTATGCTGTCCACATTACATCCACCTCTGAAATACGTCTCATTATAAAGTGGCAGGCATGGACGAATAAAGAGAAATGCTCTTAATGTTTTGGTAAGTGTTTTGAGGAGAGAATGCATATAAAATCTCCCAAACCTTTATATGACGTTAAATTATTTAGGTGGTGTAATGCCACACCACTGGGGACAAACCGAAGGAAACTCTTTTTGTTTGTGTGGAATGGTGAACACAAAAGTGGTAAGAATTTCCAGCTCTATGGCCTGGTGGTTAAGGGAGCTGGATTTCACCTGGTCGACCATATGGTTGGAGTCCTGGACCCCATGGCTTGAGAAACACACGGGGTACATGTGTGTGCACACCTGAGTGAGTGAGAGACAGAGGGAAAGTGCCAAAGCAAGCTGCCAGGTCCAAGACTCAAACCATAGTCAGCCATGTGGGAGTCCAGCGCCCTTAATCGCCATGCCACTTGCCAGCCTGAAAAATCGGAACTCTTATGTATTTCTGGTGAGAATGTAAAAATGACAAGCCACTGTGGACAATAGGATGGCAGTTTCTCAAAAATTAAATGTGCAATCCATATGATCTAGCATTTTCAATTCTGGGTATATGCTGAAGAGTATTCAAAGCAGGGATTTGAACAGATATGTATGTGTACACTGGTGTTCATGTCAGTATTATTCACAACAACTAATAGAAGCAACAGAAGTGTCCATTAGTGGATGAATGGACCAAAAAAAAAAAAGTCATCTATACCTACAGTGGAATATCATTGAGCCTTAAAAAAGGATGAAATCCTGACACATGCTACATGGATAAACCTTGAAAGACATTGTGTTAAATGAATAAGCCAGTCAAAAAAAAACAATGAATAAGCCAGTCACAAAAAGACAAATATAATTCTTCTTAAATGAGGTACCTAGAGTAGTCAAATATAATTAAATAAATAATTCTTAAAAAAAAAGGGTTAGAAGAACTATTACCTGTAAAAACCCTTAGGACAGTCGCTGGTCCACAGTACATTTAGCTAATGTTAGCTATTGCTCAACTTCAAAGAGCACAATAATTAGACAACATTTATCTAGCTCTTTTTTTAAAAAAAAAAAAAAAAGAGATTTTTTTCCTATAGGATGTGTGCAAGAGACAGAGACAGACCGAAAGAAAGTGAGAAGTCACCTCCCCAGGGGGGATGGCCGTGCTACAGTCCCTTTTCCTCCAGTCTCCTCCTAGGATTTTGGGCACTCAGGACCAACAGTTGGCGTAATGGCTATGTCATTAGACTCCCATGTAGTCAACTGCAGTTCAAGTCTTGGACCTGGTGGTTTAAACTCATGCCGGGCACGTGTGCATGTGTGCCCAAGATCTGGAGAGAAGGGATTGTGGTGTGACCATACCCCTGGGGGGTCATTTCTTGCTTTCTGTTTCTGGCGAGCGCACATGCCCTATAGTAAAAACCTCTACCCCCCCCAAAAAAAAAAAAGATTTTGGGCATGTGCACACATGTGTCTGGCATGAGTTTTAAGCAACTGGGTCCAGGACTCGATCAGCGGTTGACTACGTGGGAGTCCGGCTATGTAACCATTATGCCATCTGCAGGTCCATATGTGTCAGGCAACAAGCCAAGTCTTTTACACAGATCTATCTAATTATTCCTAACATTAATACTGTGAAATACCAGGTTGTCATGACTCATTTTCTATGTAAAATGAGTCATGACTTTTCCAAAGACCCAATAGATAGAGTTATTTTCTCAGTTTTAGAAATGGGAGGTCTGTAATTTAGAAAAGTTAAGTAACCTATCTAAAGGCATACAGCTAGTAAGTGTTGGCAACTTTCAAATTTGAGCCTTGTACACATATCCTAAATCTGTGGCTTTGAATGCTGTGTTATGCTGTCCACATTACATCCACCTCTGAAATACGTCTCATTATAAAGTGGCAGGCATGGACGAATAAAGAGAAATGCTCTTAATGTTTTGGTAAGTGTTTTGAGGAGAGAATGCATATAAAATCTCCCAAACCTTTATATGACGTTAAATTATTTAGGTGGTGTAATGCCACACCACTGGGGACAAACCGAAGGAAACTCTTTTTGTTTGTGTGGAATGGTGAACACAAAAGTGGTAAGAATTTCCAGCTCTATGGCCTGGTGGTTAAGGGAGCTGGATTTCACCTGGTCGACCATATGGTTGGAGTCCTGGACCCCATGGCTTGAGAAACACACGGGGTACATGTGTGTGCACACCTGAGTGAGTGAGAGACAGAGGGAAAGTGCCAAAGCAAGCTGCCAGGTCCAAGACTCAAACCATAGTCAGCCATGTGGGAGTCCAGCGCCCTTAATCGCCATGCCACTTGCCAGCCTGAAAAATCGGAACTCTTATGTATTTCTGGTGAGAATGTAAAAATGACAAGCCACTGTGGACAATAGGATGGCAGTTTCTCAAAAATTAAATGTGCAATCCATATGATCTAGCATTTTCAATTCTGGGTATATGCTGAAGAGTATTCAAAGCAGGGATTTGAACAGATATGTATGTGTACACTGGTGTTCATGTCAGTATTATTCACAACAACTAATAGAAGCAACAGAAGTGTCCATTAGTGGATGAATGGACCAAAAAAAAAAAAGTCATCTATACCTACAGTGGAATATCATTGAGCCTTAAAAAAGGATGAAATCCTGACACATGCTACATGGATAAACCTTGAAAGACATTGTGTTAAATGAATAAGCCAGTCAAAAAAAAACAATGAATAAGCCAGTCACAAAAAGACAAATATAATTCTTCTTAAATGAGGTACCTAGAGTAGTCATATACAGAGATGTAGAAATGGTGTTCTGGAAGAACGGTGGTTGTTAGTGGCATGGAGAGGTATTATTATTTTTATTGATTGATTGATTGATTGAGAGGGACTTTTGCTGTAGGGTGTATGTGCTCGCCAGAGACAGAAAGCAAGAAATCACTCCCCCCAGGGGGGATGGCCACACTGTAATCTCTTCTCCTTCAGTCTCCTCTTGAGATTTTGAACATGCACACACATGCACCTCATGTGACTTTCAAGCCATTGGTCCCAAGATGCAAACCATGATCGACTACCTAGGAGTCCAGCTACATAATTGTTATGCCATCTTCTGGTCTCAAGACGTATTATTTAATGAGTATAGAATTTCAGTTTAGGAGGATGAAAATGTTCTGGAGGTGGATGGTAGTGATGGTTACACCACAGTGTGGAAATGTGATTATAGCTAAAACTACACTTAAATATGGTTAAAATAACTTTGTGAGGGATTTTTGCTATAGGGCGCATGTGCTTGCTGGAGAGAGAGAGACAGAAAGTGAGAAGTCACTCCCCAGGGAATTTGCCCATGCCAGAATCCCTTCTCCTTCATTCTCTTCTTGGGATTTTGGGCACGTATGCACATGCACCCAGCATGAGTTTCAGGCTGCCAGGACTTGAACCAGTTTACTCATGTGAGAGTCCAATGCCTTAGCCACTGCACCAGCTGATGACTCCTACATGTATAATTACATATATGTGTGTGTGTATACACTTTTTTTTTTTATAGAGATTTTTGCTATAGGGCATGTGTGCTAGCCAGAGAGACAGAAACAGAGACAGAAAGCGCAAAATCACCCTCCAGGGAGATGGCCATGCTGCAGTCCCTTCTCTTCCATTCTTCTCTTGGGATTTTGGGCATGTGTGCACCTGCACCTGGCATGAGTTTTAAGCCCCTGGGTCTGGGAATCTAACTGTGGTCGACTACATGGGAGTCCTGTGATGCAACTGTTATGCCATCTGCTGGTCCCCAAAACACACACACACATGCACATATATATAAACAATTTATTTGATTTTATTCATTTATTATTATTACTTTTAAACTTGACCAGAGAGGGAAAGTGAGAAAGTAAGCTGCCAGGTCTGGGACCTGAACCTTGGTTGCCCATGTGGGAGTTCAGCATCCCAACCACCACACTACCTGTTGGCCCCCAAAATATCTATTTTTTTAAAGCCACAAATTACTAGGCATTCTTAGGAAATAAAATGGGCGTAAACATGCTTTTCTTCCCTTTATAAATCTGCCAAACATCCTCATTTGGAATTATAGGTATTGTTTGGACTCTGCCTGTTGGTAGAATGGATATAACTTGGTTTTAGGCTTGAGGCCCAAGTCCTTGAATTAACAAGTCATTTTATCTCTCTGATCTTCATCTAGAAAAATGGTCTATATTATCCTTACCTTATAAACTTGGATCAAATAAGATGGGTGTATGGATGAAGGTTTACACAGGAGTCAGTGAGTTTCAACTCTGAAAAAAAATATCAGAAGAAGTTTGTTCGTCATTCAGTGATATAGCCAAGCTGTGTGGCACACAGACTGCCTCTGCATTATGCTGCCACTGCTTGGCACTTGGGAGAGGGGTGTGGCCGACACACAGGAGGTTGGCTTTACAGAGTCCACTGACTGAAAAGAAGGAATACGTAGGCTTAGAAGAACGCCAGGCTGGGACCAGCAGTTAGTGTAATGGCTATGTCGCCGGACTCCCATGTAGTTGACCGCGGTTTGCGTCCCGGACCCAGTGGCTTAGACTCATGCCGGGCGCGTGTGTGTGCGTGCCCAAGAACCCGAGAGGAGAATGGAGGAGAAGGGATTGCGGCGTGGCCATCCCCCCGGGGGTGGGGGGTGATTTCTCACTTTCTGTCTCTCTGTCTTTGTCTGTCTGGCGAGCGCACACGCCTATAGCAAAAAACCTCTCCAAAAAAAAAAAAAAAGAAATTGTTTCATACATATCAGTACAGACAAAACCACCTCATGCTTTTCAAATAGATGAATAAAAAAACTTTTGCTTTTTTTTTTTTATTATGGTAAAATATGTGTAACATAAACTTTGCCATTTTCACTTTTTTTTTTTTTTTTTTTTTTTTCTTTAAAAGTGCATGCTCTCCCAGGAAGGGGGAAAAAAAAAACCATGAAGGATGGTCATGCTGCAATCCTTTTTCCTCTGCTTATCCATCAGGATTTAAAAAATGTACACGCATGCACTTGGAGTGTTTTTCAAGCCACCAGTGCCGGAGCGCAAACCTTGGTTGGCCACGTGAGCTTGATCTCCCAGTCTGTAGTACATAACTGCAGAGCCGACCCACCATTTCAGCTTTTCAAGTTCAGTGGTATTAAGTACATTCACACTGTTGTGAACCATCACCACCCTCTATTTCTAGATTTTTTTCATTTTGCAAAACTGAAAGTCTACTCATTCAGCAACTCCCCATTCTCCCTTGTCTCTGGCCCTTGGCAACCACCATTCTACTTCCTGTCTCTGAATTTGACTACTCTGGGTACTTCATATAAATGGAATCATACAGTATTTGCCCTTCTAAGTCTGGTTTATTTAATTGAACAGTAATTTTAACTAGACTTCTTGATGGCGTTTAAATTCTTACTTATCGTTTGTTCTTCAAGCAGAGTTGTTGCAGGGGCATCTGCTCCAGCGTTTGAGTGCTCTCTCATCTTGTCCTGTGCTTGGCTTACTTTCTGAGGAAACCCAATGCAAATCCTTATCTTCTGTGCTTAAGCTTTCCTGGGCTATCAACTAAGAAAAATGTTAAGTAATTACATTTGTTATAGTGTAGTATAAGAGCCTGCATGTTTTCTGCTTATAGCTCAGTACCCTTTGGGAAAGAATACTTTCTTTTCTTTTTAAGAGGTTTTTGCTTTAGGATGCATGTGCTCACCAGAGAGGGAGAGAGAGAGAGACAGGCAGAGGGAGTGAGAAGGAAAGTGAGAAATAACCCCCTAAGGGCAATGGCCAAGCCACAATCCATTCTCCTCCCTGGATCTTGGGCATGCATGCACATGCACCCAGTGTGATTTTCAAGCCACCAGGTCTGGGACTCGAACTACAGTCAGCCATGTGGGAGTCCAGTGACGTAACTGCTATGCCATCTGCTTGCTCCAGGAAAGAGTATGCTTTAAATGGAAAAGGTGTTCTATAACTGTAAAGCTGCTGCCACAGTTCTTTTTATAGCTGCTCCTACATTTTAGTGCGGGATGAAATCAACTCAATATAGCCAGTATCAGGGTAGCTATGTTCTCCTGATGAGGTGAAGCTAAGCAATCTTTGACCCTCGTGCTGTGCTGAAAGGTCTCATCTGAGAGACCTCTGTGCTCTGCCTTGGGAAGACTAGGCTGGGCTCCCTCTTGAGGCTGACCCCCATAACCACCCAGCTACAAAACTACCTTCAACTAGTATATTCTCCACTTCACAGGCCACTCATTTTCTGTCTGTGGAGTTAACTATAAAACATCTCTGCCCTCTTGAATCGACTAGGTGATTCAGAGATGGGAGAGCTAGACAGTCTCTTTCAGGTTCTGAGCTGATAGAACCCTTGCTTTCCTAGCCTTCCTTTGCTTTGTGGGGTCAGAGGCTGGGGCACAGTTGTTCTGCTCCCTCTGCTGGCTTAAAAGCAGCCCAGCAGTTTCAGATTTTGTTCTAATTTGTACCCACTGAGATTTTCTTTGCCAACACCTGGTTGAAAAGTGTTGACTTTACACAATTTTTTAAAGAGTTATTTATTTAATTTTATTAATTTTATTATTATTTTTTTGGAGAGGTTTTTACTATAGGGTGTGTGCGCTCACCAGACAGACAGAGAGATAGAAAGTGAGAAATCAGTCCCTAAGAGAGAGAGATTTTTTTTTTTTTTTGGAGAGGTTTTTGCCATAGGGTGCATGCGCTCGCCAGACAGAGACAGAGAGACAGAAAGCGAGAAATCATCCCCCAGGGGGCATGACCACACTGCAATCCCTTCTCCTCCATTCTCCTCTTGGGATCTTGGGCATGCACGCACACACGCCCGGCGTGAGTTTTAAGCCACTGGGTCTGGGACGCGAACTGCGGTCGACTACATGGGAGTCCAGCGGCATAGCCATTACGCTAACTGCTGGTCCCAGAGAGAGAGATTTTTTTTTAAAAGAATATTTTACTTAACTTTATTGATTTATTTTAATTTGACCAGAGAGGGACAGAGAGAGAAAAAAAAAGAGAGAGAGAGAGAAAAGGAAAATGAGAAAGCAAGCCACCAGGTCCAGGACTCAAACTGTAGTTGACTATGTGGGAGTCCAGTGCCCTTAACCACTGCGCTACCTGCCAACCCAAGAGAGAGATTTTTACTATAGGGCACGTGCTCTCACCAGAGTGTCAAAAAGCGAGAAATCACTCCCCTGTGGGGATGGCCATACTTCAGTCCCTTCTCCTCCATTCTCTTGGGATTTGAGGCAGGTACACACATCTGCCCAGAGTGAGCTTTAAGCTGCCAGATTCAGGACTCGAACTGCTGTCGACTGACTACATGGGAGTCCAGCAGCATTACCCTTATGTCATCTGCTGGTCCGTAGTCTTGCATTTCAGATTACTAAGTACCTGACAAAATTGAATTGTTCTGTAAATGTCTCCAGTGAATGGGATAAGATCTTAGGTTGAGGATGGTTATGACTTTAAGTACAAAAATGTACTCTGTTTTCAATCGAAATTGTTTCCTTAATCTGCTCTAATTCAAGAGAGATTGTGCTGCCTGGCATAGGGCTTAGCGAGTAAATATAGAGGTGCCCTTAGGCTTAGCCACTGCAGCGCAAGGCAAGCGGGAAGTGCAACTATGTGGTGGCTCAGGCCACATGGGAAATCTGGGTTTGCTTCCTAACCCAACCTAAAACAGGCTAGGTACAGTGGTGCTTATGGTCACAGTTAACTGGGAGATTAAAGCAAGAGGATTGGAACAGGTGTGACCCTGACAAAAATCTCTATTTCTCTCTCTCTCCCTCCCACTTACACTCTTCTCCTAAATTTATTATAAGTGCACGCACGTGCGCATGTGTGTACATATATAAAGAGAGAGAGAGAGAGAAAGGTGCTCTCAGTTATTACCATTTTTTGCTATGAGTATCTCAGCCAATCCTGCAAAGTCATATTTTCTTCTTTTTTACCATGAACATTTCTTTGAAATAAAAAGAAACAAAGGCAGAATTTATTAAAGGAATATGTTAGCAAAAGTAGAATATTATAGTGTAAACCATCTAATACCATTGTCCACATCTGATGAATTACCTATCCCCTTACCTTTCCCTCCCCCCATAAAAGGAAATTCCAGACATAAGCCATTTCCCACACTTTAGTATTCATCTCTAACTGATAAAAACTTTTTCCTTTTTTTTTAAAGGTTTTTTTCTTTTCTTTTTCTTTTTTTTTTTTTTTTTTTGCCATAGGGCTCAGGCACTCCCCAGAGAGAGGGAAAGTGAGAAATCACCCCCTTGGGGGATGGCCATGTCACAGTCCCTTCTCCATTCTCTTCTTGTGATTTGGGGGACACATGTACTCATGCCTGGAGTGATTTTTCTTTTTTTTTTTTGGAGAGGTTTTTGCTATAGGGTGCATGCACTCGCCAGACAGAGAGAAACAGACAGAAAGCGAGAAATCACCCCCTAGGGGTATGGCCATGCCACAATCCCTTCTCCTCCATTCTCCTCTCGGGATGTTGGGCACGCATGCACACACGCTCGGCATGAGTTTAATCCCCCGGGTCCAGGACTCAAACTGTGGTCGACTACGTGGGAGTCCAGCGACATAGCCATTACGCTAACTGCTGGTCCCATGCCTGGAGTGATTTTTAAGCTGGCTTGTCTGGACTTGCACCATGGTCAGCCACATGAGAATCCAGCGCCTGAATCACCACACCACCAGATTAATCACCTTAACCACCACCTTTCTTTATGACATTACCACAGTGTCTATAATCAGTATTCTTAAGAGATATAACAATACTTCATTATGTCAGGAAGTATTTAAACATAAAGAAAAGTAAGAATCAATCAGATTTGACAAAATGCTGACAGTAAATTTACTTCGAATCTATTATATTTTGTCGTATTTTTAAAATTTCTTTCTTTCTTTCTTTCTTTCTTTCTTTTTTTTTTTTTTTTTGAGAGGTTTTTGCTATAGGGTGCATGTGCTCACCAGAAAGACAGAGACAGAAAGCGAGAAATCACCCCCCAGGTAGGATGGCCATGCTGCAATCCATTTTCCTCCATTCTCCTCTTGGGATCTTGACGCATGCACATGCACCTGGCATGAGTTTAAGCCACCGGGTCCGGGACTTGAACTGTGATCGACTACATGAGAGTCCAGCGACATAGCCATTACCTCAACTGCTGGTCCTATACTTTTAAGACTTTTCTTAAGAATAGTTTTAGGTTCTCAGTTAAATTAAGAGAAAGGTACATAGCCTACGCCCACACATACATAACCTTACTCATCGTCAACGTCTTCCACCAAAGTGGTACGTCTGTTACAATTGAAGAACCGACGTTGACATGCCATACTGATCCAGATTATAGTTTACATTAGGGCTCACTTTTGATGTTTGATATTATACTGATGTGGAAAAATGTATAATGATACATATCTATCATTATATTGGGTCATCTGAAAAGTCATGACACATTTTTGCATAGAAAATCATAATATACATCCACAGTGTCTGGCCATAACATACCATGATTTCTTTCTACCACCAGTCTTCCAGCCTGTCACACCTTGGGCACTTGTGTACATGCTCAATGTGTTTCAGGCTGACTGGGCCAAGGATTTGAACCACTGTTGCTGTGTGGACTTAGGCTTTTCTTGAGCAACTCATTATTGCTGAACCATGGGACCTGCCAGTTTTTAATTTTAGTGATGTTCAGCTCATCAATTATTTTTTCATGGATTATGCCTTTGACATTGTATGTAAAAAGTCACACCAGACCAGCTGGTGGCATGATATGTAAGGTGACTGGATGCCATGTGGCTCACATGGTTAAAGTCCCAGACCCAGTGGCTTGAAAAACCACACTGGTGTGTGCGTGCGTGTGCATGCCCCAAATCACAAAAGGACACATGGGAAAGAGGAATTGCAGCATGGTCGTCCTCCATGGGGGTGCTTTCTCATTCCCATCTCTCCCCTCCCCATCTCTCTCTGGTGAGCACATGTGCCCTCTATAAAAATTTTAAAAAGGAGAGACAAAAAAAGTCACTGCCATACCTGAGGTCATTTAAGTTTTTTCCTGAATTCTCTCCTAGTTTCATATTTTATACATATGTCCATGATCCATTGTGAGTTAATTTTTTACAAAGTATGTAAGTAAGGTCTGTGTCTAGATCCATTTCTTTGCAGGTGGAGGTCCATTTTTCCCAGCACCATTTGTTCCAAGGACCATTTTGCCTCATCGCATTGCCTTTTCTTCTCTGTCAAAGATCAGTGGACTTTATTTGTGTGTTTGTTTGTTTAAGTAATAAATGTAATTTTCATTGATCTCTGGTAAAAACTACTCAGGGAAAACCAGTGATTGTCTTAGCCCCTAGTCTGTGAGACCCAGAACCTGAACAGCCCTGAGGAAAGGGCTTAGCTGGTTATTTTCACATCATCCACAGTATTAAAAAAAACAAGGCATTATAAATCAGTTTAGGTTCAATATGTGGCTGGCAACCAAATCCAGTCTCTCATATTCTGTGTTTTTTCTTGAGCTCTTCTACTTTGTCCACGTGAGCTTTCATGGCATCTTCCTTGGGAGTCCCTTTCAGCTCATTCCAGGCATCCCACTTGGCCTTGCCTTTGAGGTCCAGCATCCCTGGTCACTCTGTGTTAATGTCACCCACAGTTACTTGCTTGTAGGGACTGTAGGTAAATAGCATCTCACTGCGTCCTGGCTTGGTGTTGAGGTCTTTAACCTCCTCAGAGGCTTTCTCAAACTCAGCCTGAGACATTGGCGGACATGCAAGGATTCTTAGTTGCCTGCAGAGGAGTTAACTATATTTATATGGTCTATTTCTGGCCTCTCTATTCTGTTCCATTGATCTATTTATCTTTTTTTATTTTTATTTTTTTGAGAGATTTTCACTATAGGGCGCGTGCGCTCGCCAGACAGACAGAGAGAGACATAGAGACAGAAAGCGAGAAATCACCCCCCAGGGGAGGGTGGTCACACCACAATCCCTTCTCCTTCATTCTCCTCTCGGGATCTTGGGCAGGCACGCACACGTGCCCGGCGGGACGCGAACTGCGGACCACCACGTGGGAGTCCAGCGACATAGCCATCACGCTAACTGCCGGTTCCCATTATCTTTTTTTTTTTTTTTAAACACCAATATCGCAGTGTCTTGATTACTGTAGCTTTTTTAAATAAAATAATTATTTTTTAAATTTTATTTAATTAATTAATTTTAATTTGACCAGAGAGGGACAGAGAGAGAAAGAGGTGTGGGGAGTAAGAAACCAAGCCACCAGGTCTGGGACTCAATCCGTGGTTGGCCACGTGGCAGTCCAGCACCCTCAACCACTATGCCACCTGCCCGCCCCAATTACTATAGCTTTATAGTATTTAAAATCTGTTTAAAAAATTGTTTTAATTTACACATAGTAATTGTACATATTTATGGAATACAGTGTGATTTTAAAAAATTATTTTATTTAACTTTATTTATTATTTTAATTTGACCAGAGAGGAACAGAGAGAGAGAGATGGTAAGAGAGCAAGTCACCAGGTCTAGACTCAAACCATGGTTGGCCATGTGGGAGACCAGCGCCCTTAACCACCACACCACCTGCCAGTCCCCAGTGTGATGTTTTGATACATGTATGCATTATATCATTATGTGATAAACGGATTAGGGCAAAGTATATCTATCACCTCAAACCTGTATTGGTTCTTTGTAGTAAGAATGTTCACATTCCTCTTTTCTAGCTTTCTTGAACTATATTATTGTTATTGTTCATTCTCATCCCCTACCATGCATTAGAACATCAGAACTTATTTCTCCTAAGTAACATTGTACATGTGTTGTCCAATCTTTCTGTCTCCCCTCCTTCTGTCCCCCCAGTTTCTGGTAACCTTTATTCTACTCTGTTTCTTTGAGCTCAACTTTAAAATTAAATTCCACATATAAGAGAGATTTATGCACTATCGGTCTGTGCTGGGCTTAACATGGTGTCTTCCAGGTTTATCCATGTTGTCACGAATAGAGTAAGTTTTAAAATCAGGTAGTGTTCATTCTCCAACTTTGTTCTTTTGCAATATTATGTTGGTGGGCCAGCTTGTGGCCTGACCTGGTGGTTACTTAAGTTGTAGCCCACATGGCAAACTACACAGTTTGAACCCCAGACTAAGCTGTTTGAGAAATGTGCAGGGTGCATGTGCATGCATGCCCAAAATCCTGAAAGGAGGGAGAAATAGAAGAGAAGGGATTATGATGTGACCATTCTCCATTAGAGATGGGGGTGCTAGGGCCAGGATTCAAATATCAGTCAGCCATGGTGGATCTATCACCCTTAACTATCAGGCTATGGACTTGAACCGTGGTCAGCCATGTGGGACTGTCCAGTGCCTTAACCACCACACTACCTGCTGGTCCCAACACATATTTTTAATGTTATATGTTTTCTTGAAATAAAGTAAGCTAGAGAAAAAGTGTTATTAAATAAATCAAAAGGAAAATATGGGGACCAGCAGGTGGCGTGGTGGTTAAGGTGCTGGACACTCCCACGTGGCTAACCACGGTTCAAGTCCCAGACCTGGTGGCTTGCTTTCTCACTTTCTCTCTCTCTTTGTGTCTCTCTGGTCAAATTAAAATAAAATAAATGAATAAACAAAATTAACTAAAAATAATTCTTTTAAAAAAGGAAAGTACGTTTATAGTATTCAACTGTTTTCCAATACATTTCTTTTTAAAAAACTTATGTATATGTGAATTCGTATACTTAAAAGGAGTAATTTTAGGTCATCTGTACAGGTTTTTGTTTGTTTTTAAGTTTGCTATTGGGTGCATGAACTCACCAAAATGAGACAGGGGAAATGAGACATCACCCCCCACCCCCATCACCCCCACCAGGTGAGATGGCTGTGTTGCAGTCCCTTTTTCTCTACTCTCTCAGGATTTGGGGCATGTACACATACATGCCTGACATGTTTTTCAAGTCACTGGGTCTGGGACTTTTAACTGCATAGTCAGCCATGTGAGATCTAGCCACCTTTAAATTCCATGCCACCTGCTGTCCCAAGTATTATTTTTATACTTAAAAATATATACTTAAAAGTTATTCTTTTCCACAGGCCAGCAGGTTGTGTGGTGGTTAAGGCACTAGATTCCCACATGACTGGTAACAGTTTAAGTCCCAGACCTGATGACTTGAAAATTATGCTGGGTACTTGTGCATGTGTATGCAAAATCCCAGGAGGAGAACAAAGGAGAAGAGATGGTGGCATGACCCTCCCCTCGTGGAGTGGGGTGATTTCTCACTTTCCCTCTCTCTGTCTCTCTCCAGCGAGCATACGTGCCCTATGCCAAAAACCTAAAAAAATTTAAAAAGTTAGCCTTTTCCTATCTCTTTAAAAGGCTTTTAAAAATAAACAACTATTTTAAAAATAGTTATTTTATTTGTTGTTATATTATTTATTAATTAGTTAATTCAATTTTAATTTTTTTTGAGTGGGTGGTTTTTTTTTTTTGTTTGTTTGTTTGTTTTTGTTTTTTTTGCTATAGGGTGCGTGTGCTCGCCAGAAAGACAGACAGAGACAGAAAGTGAGAAATCACCCCTTAGGGGGGTTGGCTTCACTGCAATCCCTTCTCCTCCATTCCTCTCGGGATCTTAGGCATGCACGCACATGCGCCCGATGTGAATTTAAGACACCGGGTCCGGGACTCTAACTGCGGTCGACTACATGGGAGTCCAGCGACATAGCCACTATGCTAACTGCTGGTCCCAATTTTAGTTTGACCAGAGAGAGGAAGAAAAAGTGAGAATGCAAGTCACCAGGTCTGAGACTTGAACTATGGTCGGCCAGATGTGAGTCTAGCACCCCAACCACTGTACCACCTGTAGTCCCCAAAAGATTTTTTGCTATAGAGTGCATGTGCTTGCCAGCAAGAGAAGGAAATTAAACAATCACCTTCTCTTCCATTCTCTTATTGATTTTTGGGCATGCATACACACGTTCCTGTGTAATTTTCAAGCCACTGGGTCTGGGACTTAAACTATGGTTGGCCACTTGAGAGTCCAGCACTTTAGCCACCATACCACCTGCTGACCCCAATTTCTGTTTATCTATTTACGTTTCAGTTTTTGGGAGACAGACAGTGGCCTGGAGGTCATATGTCTACTGATGGTTAAATGTAAAGAGTCCTGTGCTTATGTGCCTCATCAAAATCTTATGGAGTTGGGGAGATAGAGTGTTAGGATTGTATTGGAGGCTGGCAAGACCAAGTGTTAGCCCTGTAATATGAGCTGTTTTAACTCTAGATTCTTACTTTCCTCTGAAGGAGGAGATGACCGCCGGGTTCTACTATGGCACATGGAACAAGCCATCCACTCCAGGGTCAAGCCCATACAGCTGAAAGGAGAGCACCATTCGAACATTTTTTGCCTGGCTTTCAACAGTGGAAACACTAAAGTATTCTCTGGAGGTGAGAAGGAAGAGTCCACTTTGGGAAATTCACTGTGGTTGGGATTTTAGAGAAAGGAGTGCTCATAAAACTCCAGTGTTTCTTTCTGAATCTCATTGACATGTTTGTAGGGTAGTGCCTGCCTGCTTGCCTGCCTTTTTGGTGGAAAACTTTTCATATTGCAGTCTGCTGCACAGAAACACACACACACTCACTCACTCACTCAAAATAATACCTAACATTACTTTATGTGGTATACTCTGATATATTTTAAAAATCTGTGGGTTTTTTTTTTTTTTTTTTTTAATGCTGTCGGTATCTTGAATTGGTGTCATGACCCATGGCTGGCTCCTGTTTGAAAGTATTATGATAGGGTGCAATTGGCATGGCTGGTGCTCAGGCCAACCTCTTGGTGATGGCTTCCATCAACCACACCCCTGACAGCAGATTTCTAGCCTTGACCTCTCTTCTGAGCAGATTATTTCCTCCTGGAGATCTCCACCTATGTTTCAAAGATAATTTAAATGCAGTGGGTCCAGCACCACTATTGTTAGTCCTCCCCTGCACACAAATCTCTTGTTGCTTGATTCCCTTTTTCAGTTGTTATTGCCATTCACCCAATTACATAAGCTACTGGGTTTAACTTTAGAAAACTGCTGACATTTAACCATTTTCAGCTTTAAAAAATGACAGTTTCACATGGTTCATTCCTAATAGTGATCTTGAAGTAATTGCAAACTTGCTTTTCTTTGCATTTATAGTCACCAGGTCCTGTCAGATCTATTTTGAAAGCCTCTTATATTCATCCTTTAGCTTCTCTTCTCTTTTTCTACCCCTACCCCCTGCCCTGATTCAGGTCCTCATCTTTGGTCTGGATTATTACAGTGGCTTCCTTGATTTCTGTTACCAGTCTTTGACCTGCCTTTTAAGTTCTTTCAAAAGATAAAGATTATAAGCCAGCAGATGGCATAGTGGTTACGTTTTTGGACTCATGGTTCAAGTTCCAGACCTGGTGGCTTTTGTGCCCAAGATCCAGGAGGAGAATAGAAAAGTGATTGTGGCATGACCATTCCTCCAGGGAGTGATTTCTCACTTTCCCTCTTATTGTCTCTGTCTCTCTCTGATAAGCACATGCACCCTATGACAAAAACCTCTAAAAACTAAAAAATAAAGTTTAGACATGTGAATCTTTGACCCTACAGTGCCTGTAGAATGAAGTCTAAACCCCAACTGCCCTGTCTGCCTCATTTCCTTTCCCCATGCCCTACATGCTTGCCCCTAGACTCCTTAGCATCTGAAGTGTGCTCCACACGTACCATTCTGTCCTCGTGCCTTTTGTCATGCTGTTCTTCCACCTTGTTATCCAAGCCCTCCCATTTTCCCTAAGTGGTTGCTATGAGTATTGAGTTAGTTGTTTTCTTCCATACACTTTAAATCTGCTCATGAAGGAAGTAGTTGCAGCATAGCCAGACCTAGCAGAACAACATGACACCCTCTTGTTGCTACATAGTTGTTTGTTCAGTTGTACTGTGAATTTCTCCAGGACTGGGCAGAATCTTACCTTCCTTGTATGCATAGCACCTAATACTATGCCCAGTACTTATAAATACAAGCATTAGTGTGGGCTTATTGATTTCACTGGTGTGCACCCACAATAGAATTTAGACAACCTAGTCACATCTTTACTGCTACTTTTGCTTTTTATTAAAGTGACTATTGGTTGTGCCTATTTCAATATAGACTGGGTTTTTTTGTTTGTTTTTTGTCTTATATATATGTTTTTAGTTTTTGGCTATATAAATATTCTAAGTTATGACTACATGTAACATGAATGTAGTATGTTTAGATCTCTTGATGGAATGAGGAGAAATGCTAGTGGAAAGAGTTGTGGATAAAAACTTTCCGATCTTTAGAATCATATAATTATCAAGTTTTAATGTAGTAAAAGATGATGAGAGTAGTAGTAGTAGTAAACATTTATTGGGGGCTTATTAAATGTTTATCCTTATTCTGAATGCTTCTACAACACATTCTTAACATAACCCTATGAAGTAGGTACAATAATTATTTCTATTTTACAGGTGAAAAGTTGAGGCATAGAAATGTTTTGATATTTTATTCCAGGCCTAATAGTTAATGAAGGTTTGCTGGGGATTGGGGAAGAAGGAAAAAAATGCTAACTTGAATGAACAAATTGATTGCCCATAACTATTGAGTCTTTTCCATAATGGCCAAAGTGTTTTACATCATCCAGTGGATCATATGTTTTGGGAGCTGTTCTTATGTTATACCTTATTGCTATTATGTTTTTAAGAATTGTCCAGAAAATGTCTTATCTTTCTTATTTTTTTTCCAGTTAACATTCCTAATTTGTACTAATGTTGACTTTATTCAAGTTTTTTTCTCCTCTGAAAACTTTAAAATACTCAGTTGTAATGTGGACAGGGACCACTTGCAGGTATTATCAAATGTCTGCTTTTTTTCTTTCATAGGAAATGATGAGCAAGTTATCCTCCATGATGTTGAAAGGTAAATAATTGTTGGTGTGTGAAGATGACTGATTCTTTTTTTAATGAAGAGAGGCAAAACATTGCTTTAGACCAAAGTAGCTTTTTGTTTTTAGAAGGAAGCATTAAACTAGCTGTCCGTGTCTAAAAAGATTCCTTTGATAGTTTTGAAATAAAGTTTTGATTTAAAAAAGAAAAAGGCTTGAAAAGTTGGTATGAAATTATAGTTTTTGGGTAGAAGTTTAAAGGCAGAGATTGAAAGAAAATGAAGCATAATTTTTTTTGGGGGGGGGAGAGTTTTTTGCGATAGGGTGCGTGTGCTTGCCAGACAGACAGAGACAGAAAGCGAGAAATTACCCCCCCAGGGGGGATGGCCACGCCGCAATCCCTTCTCCTCCGTTCTCTTCTTGGGATCTTGGGCACGTGACGCACATGCGCCCGGCGTGAGTTTTAAGCCACCGGGTCTAGGATGTGAACCGCGGTCAACTACATGGGATTCCAGCAACATAGCCATATGCTAACTGCTGGTCCCGAAGCATAATATTTAATGCTATTAGTAGCTAACATTTATTGACTTCTCACTGTGTGCCTGGTACTAAGTGCTTTGTATGTATTAATTTAACCCTCGCAGTCATTTTATGATGATGAGGAAGTAGAAACACAGAGATGTCAGACAGTTTCAGGTCAGGTGATGCTAGGATCTCAACTTGGCAGTCTGGCCTCAGAGTTGTGCTGTTAGTCATCATGCTAGATGGCCAGGTGATCCCTCTTCCACCCCTGCTAGCATCAGACATGATTGCTTTAAACCTTTCCCTTGCTTTTGGGAAATCAAGTTCAACCCCCAAATCTGTACATCAGAAGATATATTCTGCAATAAACAGACACACAGAACTCAGCCAAGTCACTTTTAAGGTACAATGATTATCATGAAATCATAAAAAGTGTCTTTAATAGGTTTTTTTTTTTTTTTTTTTCCTAAAAGTTGAATAGCTGCCTTCTAGGGCATATAAAATCCTATGGATTTAGTTATGTGGGCTTTCTGCTAGGCATGAACAACTGTACCCTAGGTTCCCAAGGGCTGGAACTCGGCACCGCGTTTATGTGTGTGGGTGTACCTGTGTGCCTCTCTCTTGCTCTCTGTTTCTCAGCAGTGAGACCTTGGATGTGTTTGCTCATGAAGATGCAGTATACGGCTTGTCAGTGAGCCCAGTGAATGACAACATTTTCGCTAGTTCCTCAGATGATGGACGGGTTCTCATTTGGGACATCCGGGAGTCTCCCCATGGAGGTAGGGTCACTGTGCAGAAGGCTATTGCATTGTGTTGAATAGTTTGATATTAAGTTCTTTGCAGGTCCAATTTATTACCTGTCTTTGGGTGTGACATCAAGAGACAGGAAATGTGAGGCTCTCAATATGGGGGCAGAAGATATATATATCTTTGGAGATCTCATCCTGCCACGAGCAGTTAGAAGTGAGGCATCCTTGCCAGCCATTTCTGGCCACTTGTGAATCTCCATAAAAAAATCCTTGCTCCTTGGCATTTAGTGACCTCAAGGAACAGATACTGTGGCACCTCATTGTGGAGGGTACCGACCAAGGGCTGTTTCTATTGGTTGCTTACAGAGAATGTACCACACCCTTTCTTTCCTCCTAGTTTCAGGCTTATTACTTTATTGAAAGAATCACAAAATCTCTCCTTAGCTGTAAATAGGATCTTTTTTTTTTTTTTGAGAGGTTTTTGCTATAGGGCACGTGCACTTGCCAGAAAGACAGAGAGAGACAGAGAGACAGAAAGCGAGAAATCACCTCCCCCAGGGGGGATGGCCACACCACAATCCCTTTTCCTCCATTCTCCTCTCGGGATGATGGGCACATATGCACATGCGCCCAGCATGAATTTAAGCCACTGGGTCCGGGTCTTGAACCATGGTTGGCTACATGGGAATCCAGCGACATAGCCATTATGCCAACTGCTGGTCCCCATGGATCTTAAAATGATAGCAAATACACTCTGTTCAAAGGAGATTGTGTGAGTACCTCCTCTGAATGTGCCCTTTGAATCTCTAACGTGTAAAATGAGAATTTTGGGGGCCAGCAAGGGCATGGTGGTTAAGGCATTGAACTCTCACATAGCTGACTACAGTTCAAGTCCCAGACCTGGCAGCTTGAAAATCACATCATGCACATGTGTGTGCTTGTCTAAAATCCCAGAAGGAGAATCAATTGAAAAGGAATTGCAGTGTGGCTATTGTGCCCTGGGGGTGTGTGTGATTTTTCACTTCCCTTCTTAAAGTTTTTCAGGAAATACATCTTCTCAGATCGTTTCCTGCAAAGGGATGTTTTTCCTATAACTCTATATGTCTTTAAAGGCCCTTTCCTCTAGCAACACCCTCAGTGTCACCCCTGTGACCACTCTTACCCTTCCTGTAGTTTTGTAATGATCACACCTGTGTACATAGATCCTGCCTGCTTTGCCGTGCAGGATTTGAGTCTTCATTGCTCTAGATTCCAAGCATTTATCATACTAGGCTGTGCTTATTACCAAGGTCTGGGCTGTAAGAGGAGTTGTTCTTAGGGTAAGGCGGCGTAACAGCAAGCAACAGCTGCAGTTGTGTCACTGTGCATGGTAGGTGAACCTTTCCTTTCTCTGAAATGCTTGGTCACCTGCCCTGTCTAGAGGCTTGTGAAGTACTGTATCTGCCTCAGAGACTGAGAAGTGCTTTCCATCTATTCTTCTTCTTCTTCTTCTTCTTCTTTTTTTTTTTTTTTTTAAAGGTTTTTGCTGTAGGGCTCACATACTCACCAGAGGGAGAAGGAGAGGGAAGGTGAAAATCACCCTGCAGGAGGATGGCCACACTGTAGTCTCTTCTCTTCCATCCTCCTCGTGGGATTTTGAGCACACACATACCCACAAGCCACCGGGTTTGGGACTCAAACTATGGCTGGTCATTTGGGAGTCCAGCACTTTAACCACTATGCCACCTGCTGGCCCCACCTTCATATTTTCAGTGGCCATTTCTATTTTGTCACAAAATCTGAATAGATGTATATTTTTTAGCATTATAAATTAAAATTTGGTTGAATGTGTTTAACTATTTCCAGACTTTGTGCATGCAGGAAGTGTGTACTGAACTCGTGGAGCTCTTATGAGTGAGGGTGACTGGGGGGGGCTGATGTGAGACATCAAGGTTCCAGCCCATTGGTGTGGTCTTATTAAAGTGTATGTTCTACTCACATTCACACTCCTGCGTATTTGCCTACTGTTGGCCTGGAGGTGCCTGGAATGAACTGATGATAATTTCTCTTTTCACAGAGCCCTTCTGCCTGGCAAACTATCCATCTGCCTTTCACAGTGTCATGTTTAACCCTGTGGAGCCCAGGTTATTGGCCACAGCCAATTCAAAGGAAGGAGTGGGACTATGGGATATTCGAAAACCTCAGAGGTGAGCCCCTTTATTCATAAGATGCTAAAACTTCTCTGCCTCATCTCTCAGGTAGTGTAATCAGCCAGCTCAAGTGTTGTGAGAACACGTCTGTCTATTCCCTCACTGGGCCTCTCCTAATATATACTGGTGTCTCGGAAGCAGGAGGGCCACTTCCATGGAGACAGAGCAAGAAATCCACACTTCTGACTGAGGAGTCATCAGTTGTAATCTGGACTCCAGATGGGGTCAATTCTGGGCAACTGTATGATGTAGCAAGAGCCTTCCTTCACTACTATCTTCTCTTGTTGGGCTCAGTGTTCCCCAGATGCACAGGAGCTCTTGCTGAGTGGAAAAAAAATTGCTAAAGTCATTGCTGCTGACTCAAAGGTTCTTCTTTCTTTAAAAAATTTTTTAAGAGAGATTTTGCTATAGGGCACATGAGCTCACCAGAGACATAGAGAGAGGTAGAGACAGAAAATGAGAGATCACCCCCTGGGGGAGGACCACGCTGAATTCCTTTCTCCTTCATTTTTCTCTTGGGATCTTGGGCACACACGCACACATGCCCAGTGTGAGTTTTAAGCCATGAGGTCCAGGACTCAAACCATGGTCAACTACATGGGAGTCCAGTGACATAACCATTACACCATCTGCTGGTCCCAACTCAGAGGTTCTTAACCCCAGGCTGGAAGGAGTGGGCTAAGCAGAACTGTGTGAACTCCCCAAATCATATGTAGATTGTGTATTGTGTGTTCATGTAAATTATTTTTAGAGGAGGAAGTTTGTATGTTTTTCTCAGTTTTTCTAAAGGATGAGTGACCACAACAACAAAAGGTTAAAAGCTAGTGCACGCACTTTGGTGTTAGGAACCTAATGTGTTTCTCCTTCTCTTTGTATTATTAAAAGAGTACACTTAGGACAATCCTGAACTGATGGTTTGGATCATTAATGGAAGAATTTTAGGCATCATTAAAGGATGTGGGGAAGGGGGTGAGTAGGAGGCTCTTTCATCTTCCTTAAATCTCTTAGGGGAGGGATGACCTCTGATGGCACCCGTACATAACGTTGGGCTTGCTTTATAAAAGACATATATACATTGCGAGCCAGCTCCTCTGGAAATTTTTCTTTTTTAGAGAGATTTTTGCTACAGGGCGTGTGTGCTCGCCAGAGAGACAGAGAGAGAAAGAGACAGAAAGCAAGATATCACCTCCCCGGGGGGATGGCCATGCTGCAATTCCTTCTCCTCAGGATTTTTGGGTATGCACACATATGCCTGAGTTTTAGACCACCGGATCCAGGACTCGAACAGTGGTAGGGGTGCAGCAATGTAATCATTATGCCATCTGCTGATCCCTTCCTCTGGAAATGTTATGTGCAGGTAATTTCTCACTATGTAAAGCAGTATTGCAAAAGAATATCATGGGACATAGTGAAATTACAATTTATTTCATGGGCCTCAAATGAAAGGGGACAGTTAAGTACAGAGGATTATCTTCCTCGATGACTTTTAGTCCGAGCTGATTCTCTCCATAGGGTGGCCAGAGGGTTGGAATTATTGTGGCAGATCTTTATAGCCCAGAGGGGCAGCCCTGGTGCTGAGCTGTGCTCCCTGAAACGTCACAGAGAGGCAGAGATTTGTCCTGCCCTCTCTGTTTGATGTGCGCCTGGCTCTCAACTTTGCGTGCTGTTGAAATACATGTAGTGACGGGACTCCTTATGTGTCTTTGCACTGCATGCTTAAGGAGGCCGCTCTCTGTCAGAAAGACAGGTCTTGTGTTCAGCTGGTATTCTCTGCCACTTCAGGCTCTTTAGGAACACCTGTTCAGCCTCTTCTATATTACAGAAGGCAGGCTTGGACTAACTATGCCGGCCTTCTCCCTACTTAGAATTGCAGTGAATAGCTGCCAAGTGGAGTGGGGCACTGAACTGTTCGTCTCCAGTGGAAAGCTTGCGTAACTCATAATGCCAGCAGTGTCTTGAGAGAAGAGGCGAGCGTGAGTGAGAAGAGGGGAATGTGAGTGTTTCAATTCTCCTCAATCTCCCACCAGTTTCCTACTGTGCATTAAGGGCCCCCTTGCCCTTTCCACATGTCTCCTGACTAATAAACATAGCTTCTTTCTTTTTAAAACAGTTTAAGTACAGAGGAAGATAATCCTCTGTGCTTAACTTCCCCTTTTCATTTGAGGCCCATGAAATAAATTGTAACTTCACTATGTTCCATGATATTCTTTTGCAATACTACTTCATATATTGTTCTACTTTTACAGTAACTTTCATTGGACTTAGGGTTTTTTTTAAAGAATTATTTTATTTAACTTTATTATTATTATCATTATTATTTTTCCTTTGGATCAGAGAGATACAGAGAGAGAGAGAGGAAGTGAGAAAGCAAGCCACCAGGTCCGAGACTTGAACTGTAGTCGGCTATGTGGGAGTCCAGCGCCTTTAACCACCATGCCACTTGGCGGCCCCTGACTTAGGGTTTTATTCAAAAAAGGATAATGAAAAGAAAGATGATTCTATCTTCAGACTATCTCTGTTACTTATATATTTAAATTTTCCTCCTTTCATTCATGATAGAGCACACATGCATGTGCACACAAATGTGTGTAAGTGAGAAAGAGAGATGGTTGAGACCTTCCAAAGGATCTGACCGTTGCCATGATTCCCTTCCTCTAATCCTTCAGCTGGTTGGATCCTTGGCACTAGCACATGAGCCTGGCTGACTAGGCCAGGGATTCACACTGAAGTCCTCATGCAGGATCTGGCTTCTCTTGATTACTGTATTACTGCTGTGCCACAGAGCCTGCCTAGCTTGTATATATTTATTTATTTATTTTATTTATTTGCTAACTTATTTATTTAGAGAGGTTTTTGCTATAGGGTGTGTGTGCTCGTCAGAAATACAGAGACAGAGAGACAGAAAGTGAGAGATCACCCCCTGGGAGGCTGGCCATGCCGCAATCCCTTCTCCATTTTCCTCTCAGGATCTTGGGCACGCACGCATACGCACCCAGCATGAGTTTAAGCCACTGGGTCTGGGACTTGATCCACGGTCAACTATATGGGAGTTCAGCGACATAGCTTGTATATTTTTAAAATACTTATGTGGGCTGGCTCTGTGGCACAGTAAAAAATTTAAGCGAAGCCAGATCCCAAATGGCACCTGTGGTTTGAATCCTCAGCCCTTTCTGGATGTACTGAAACACATTAGACCCATGTGTGAGTGCTCAGGATCTGACTGGCTGGAGGACAGGAGGAAGAGGATTGTGGCATGGCCGGTCCCAGTCCCGGTCCTGGTCCAGTGTCTCCTCTCTTTTGTGCATGTGCTTTCTTTCTCTTTCTCTTTTCCCTCGTATGTGCATGCTGTATCGTGAATAAAGATGAAATAAATAAATGAAGTGCTTATACATCAATATGCTCTTCTTCCTTGTCTCTAGGTACTCTCTCCAAAGTTAACTACAGCAAACAGTTCCTTATGTATCTTTCCAGAACATAACTTAGTGTCTATACAAGCATCCTTTTAAATGCCTCTGTACATCCTTTTTAAAATTTAGATAAAATGATCCAAGTAATAATGCTGTTCTCAATTTTTTTTCAATGAATAATATTCTAGAGCTCTTTTCAAATCAGCACTTAACAGATCTAGTTAATTCTTTTAATGGCTACATGATATTCCATTAATACGATGTACTCAACAACCAGGCCTCATTTTCAGTTTTTGGTCATAAAGTCATTAAAAACAATGCGACATCGAGTCTGGTTACATATCTATCTTGGCCTACATTTGCAAAAATATCTGTGGGGATTGCTGCATCAAAAGGTGTGTGATGGGACCAGCAGATGGCATAATAGTTATGTTGCTGGACTCCCACATAGTCAATTGTGGTTCAAGTCCCGGCAGCTTAAAACTCATGCTAGGCGCATGTGCATGTGTGCTCGAGATCCCCAGAGGAGAATGAAGGAGAGGGATTATGGCATGGCCTTCCCCACTGGGAGGGGTGATTTCTTGCTTTCTATCTAACTGGTGAGCGTAAGCACCCTATATCAAAAATCTCTATGTCAAAAAAAAAAAAAAAAATAGGATGTGTGTTTTTAAATTTTAGATATAAATGATCAAATTTAACACCAAAGGTTACAGTGACTTACAAATCTACCACCTGTGTATGAGGCTATATTTCTTGAGACCCTTCCCAACACCTAAGTCGGTTGCTAGTCTTATGGGGGAAATGATATCTTCTGTTCTGATTTCTTCCTCAGTTATGAGGGAGATTATGGGGTTTCTTTGGTAACCTATAGTTTTCAAAGCCCATATGGGAGGAAAGTCATCTAATAATGCTAATGAGCAATTTTGACTGATTTCTTCCTGGGAATGAAAGGAGGAGCACAGTGCCGTGGGGACCTGCATGTATTTTGCCTTTATTTCAATTCTCTTAAGATTCTATGAGCTTTTATAGGTATCATGCAGAAAATGGACATGAAATATCTTTGGAAATACGTCTTAACTTCACAATCACTGGAGTTTGGGGATTGAATTACACATCTTTTCTGTTTGAATTCCCTCAATTCAAGTTGGTGTGGGCAAGTGAGAGAGGGCCCTTTGTCTTTTCCATGTAGGATTAATTAGGCTGAGTTGCAGTAGTTAATTTGTCTCATGAGCATGGCTGCCTAGAAACCCCAACCCAGATCTTGGGGAACTTCTAAATCCCTAGGAGGACAAGCCTGAAAAAGGATAGAACTATTTCAGAGATATATAAAGCCTAGCAAGAGATTTTTAGGGGGATTTGTGAACCCCTCCCCCCGCCCCCTTTTTTTAAGAAAGTTGACAAAATAATCTCTAGATGCCATTTGAAACCCAGTCTAGATTTCTCTAATTGTCCCCCAAATGTCTAATAGTTGCATGTTCAAATCAGAGTCTGTTTGAGAAGAATGCATCCCATTTGGTGTGTGTTTCTCTTCATCTAGACCAGTTCTCTTATCTTTTTATTTTTCATTTACATTGATTTTCTTTCTTTCTT